GGCTGAACAGACAATCAGCCCAATGTAAGGAGTTAAGAAATGTGCAGTGATACTTCTGTCAGGAAGCATCTGCAAAATGTCAGGTATTGTCACTCTACACTGAAGGTCAGGATTGGAAAATACTATTAAATGTTTAGATTTTTTAAAAAAATTGTTTCATTAAGTAAAAAAAATAATGCTAGGTCAACTATTGTTGCTGCTACTGTGTTGTCCTTGGATAATATTCTTCTTGGACTTTCTCAGTACCAGGTAAAGTTTATGGCACCTCTGTAAGATACAAAAAAAGATGATAACTATCATTTTGCAGATGGAGAAAAAACATGTGATTTAAGTCAAAGTCGCATAACAGATTGTAAATTCCTACATGCCAGGAAGGAAATTCAAACTGTTTATTCTCAGCACCCCTGTCAAGCCACTATTACATTTAGCAAAATCTGAAAGAGTACTTTACAATGTTATAATAAAAAATTATGAAATCTCCCAGTGATTCATTGAATGACTAGATAAGAAACATCTCCCAAGACAAAATACATATTAACAATCTGTTCTTCTCTAATTACCTAAAGTAACTGATAAAGTTTTAACCGTTGTAGCGTAATGCATGCACACAGGTCATGTCTGTTCATAATGAAATCTCTGATTATAAACACATCATAAAGTTATCACATCTGTAGCATATGGACTCATGTCAAATAATGTCTTGCAGTTGATTTGACCAGTATTGATAAACAGACCGCAGAAAAGGAGATGGAAAGCCGAAAAAGAGCAAATACTCTTGCCAACTTGTTCCTAGAAAAAGTAAAAAATTTTGATGATTTCTTGTGGAAAGTTACTGAAGGAGATAATGTTGCAACCACATTCAGCAAGCAAAGGTAAAGAAAGATCTGGTATAACAGCTACAGCCTGTGATAACTTCAGGGTTTTTTTTCTTTTCTTTCGGGCAGGTCCCATTTAAATGCGGAAGAGGCTATCAACATGCCTCACCATTCAAGTGACCAGTTACCAGGAGTCTTAAAGCAGTTCACTATATTATTAAGGTAACCTTATCTCCAGCATAAATAGTTATGTATCATGCCCATTTGTATTTTAAAGCATAAGAAAGAAGCACAAAATGAGAACTGAGTGCATCCTGAAAGTGCAGTGCTAGCACTAGGCCTGAGCAAGCCGTAGAGCAGAGGTGTTGCTACACCGGCTCACCCAAGCCCCCTGAGCAGGACAGCAGCCAGATGTACAGCCCCACATTTCTGCCCCAGGGCTCCTTCCAGACACAGACACCTCCAGCTCACATCGCTGGGAGCCCGCAGCTTTAAGCAGTGGCAGGAGCCTCCAGGCTCAGGAACATGTGTCTTAGTTTTGGGTGCCACCATCCTGATACCCGTGCCCAAGCGTGGCGACTCAACCCTCAGAAAGCCCAGGAAGCCGCGTGGTAGGCTCAGGCATTGCCATCCTCAGGCCTTTGCCTCAGATTTGAAATCAGGAGGCTTCACTGATTATAACCAGCGTAGATGAGTATTGTAGTTGGGTCTCATGCTTGTGTACTCAAAAGAAACATGATCAACTGTTTTAATACATGTAGAACATCACTACCAGTATCAGCTGTTGTTAGCGTATGCTAAAGGTCCTTAACAGAGACTTCTATAACTGAAGTAAATGCTTCTGCATCTCTGAAATCAGACCATCCCACTCCCATTGCCTTCCTCCAAGCTTTCAGCATTTCAGACCTGAAATACTAGGTGGCTACAGATGCTCAATAGCTTTGGTTAGGTAAAATCCTTTACAGAAACAGACAGCCCAACTCCTGTCCTACTCAAAGTCAGCAAGTTCCACGAATTGATTTTAGCAGAGCATTTGGGGCAACGTATCTGAATATAACTGGTATTAGTAACTACTATACCTTACGGTCAATGTTGCTGTTTTCCTAGTCGTCAAGTCTCCAATGACTTCCGAGATCTTTCAACGTTATTAATCCATGGATTTGAGGCCCTTCTCATGTCGTTATTAATTGGATTTTTGTACTATGGCCATGAGAAAACCAGACTCTCTATTCGTGACACAACAGCACTGTTGTACATGATAGGTGCACTAATCCCGTTCACAGTGATTTTGGATGTTATTGCCAAATGTAAGTGTCAGTTTTCTTGTAAATGTTATAAGCAATCAAAATCAGAAAATGCCTAAATCAATGGAAAAATTCTACTTATTAATGCAACCCTAGGATGAAACCAACCTGTTTGTTCCTACCCTGCAGGTCATTCGGAAAGAGCTATGCTTTATCATGATTTGGAAGATGGAATGTACTCTGTTAGCCCATACTTCTTTGCTAAGGTAATTGGTTTTGTTGCCAGGAAATACAAACATAAAATGGCTTTAACATAACAAAGCACAAACAAACCAAAGCCTTGTTGTACAAATGATCACATTCACATCAGACTTTGTTTTTTTGTGTCTGCCAGCTAAGGCTATCGTTCTTGCTTCCTTAGCATTAACGAATTAAATTTCACACTACTTTAGATCTGTTGCCATAAGTCACGGCTGAGATCCCACCCCAGAAAAACCAAAGAAGAATCTGTCACTGGGTTGTTTGAGATTTCTCAGATTCTGGCCAAACTCAAATTTAAGGATTTAGACAGCTTTACGTACCTGCATGTTTCATTCGCTGAAGCATCTTTGAAAGTTTGACTACATGTCTTGATCTGTAAAACAAAATATTCATACTAAATGCTAAAGCAAAGGTAAAACAGAAATGACAAAATGCTGACTGTGACATTTCCAGTAGTTGTTTGGGCCTGTACTGGTCAGAGACAAACAATTGTATTAAGTGCATAAAGAGCCAGAGTTTCTGGAAATAAATTAGAACTTTTAAAAAACTACATTTCTCTTTTTCACAAGGGTTTAGAACAATCCCTTCTTTGTGATGTTGCCACTGTTAGATGAGTTCTGCCTGCCATGGCATCTGTAATTTAGGTTTCCATTTCTGCACAAGATTTTAAACGCTTATTAGTGGTTGCCAGAGAAAAATATTCTTTGCATTGTGTCACAAAGATTGCACATTATTCATAGAGAAATCAATGTAATTTGTTACAACCTTAATATTAGAGGATAGTAGCAATCCTCTTTGGAAGAAATAATCATAATACTCTCTATACATATCTTTAGATATTTAAGAAAATCCTAAGCATGTTTTTGTTTTACAATAAGTTGAATAGTTACTAACTGGACTGCCTCTGGGACAAACTGGGGAAGCGACCAACAGCCAAATTTGTCTCAAATTTGATCTCGCACTAGGTTCAACCAAATTTGGACAAAACATACAGTTGCAATAAGTCAGTAACTGCTATCAAGCACACCAGTTCTCAGGGAAGGCATCTTAAATTCTTAGAAGCTGCCAAAACTGTTACAAAACAAGATATCTAATCTGTAACAAGAATCCTCTCATTTTAACAATTAGTTATAGGAATTGTCACAACTGGAGAAAAAAAATTAGTGAGGATTTCAATTTTTGTTGTGGATTGTTTTTGCCTGTCACTGACAACACCTAACAGGGAGGTGACTGCATTCTACGGGAGTATTTCCTGTAGTTTTTATAAACAGTCTACATGTACATCAAGGTGCATCTCAAAGTTTTGTGATGATCATTCAACTTATTTTTCTCTCTCTCTCTCTCTTTTTTTTTTTTCTTCCCGAACAGATTTTGGGGGAGCTCCCAGAGCACTGTGCTTTTGTTATAATTTCTGCTGAACTTCTTCTCGGTGTGGCTGGCCGTATATAGTGCCCGTGCGATGGCACTTTGGGTGGCAGCACTGCTGCCGACGTTACAGCTCTCAGCCTTCTTCGGCAACGTCCTTTTCACATCGTTCTACCTGAGTGGTGGTTTTGTGATAAGCCTGGAAAACCTCTGGACAGGTAAGACGAAGCTCCCACCATCCCTCCGAACCAAAACATCGATGGTTTTCCTTAGTGACTGGTTGTAGCGAGGCTGAACATGTCCTGTGCAGGAAAACTCAGCTTTATTCCTACCTTTGCAATTATCTTCTTGGGTGGTGACGGTGGAGTCAGATCATTCATTTTACTTCAGTTTCTCCATCTGAAAATGAGGTAACAATAAATTTGGTCAAAAAAACACTAGTGAAAGGCTTGATTCTTACATGGTTCCTAAATTTTCAGGTAAAAAGAATTACATCCAGTAGATGAAGATTGAGCTCCAGCAAAACTTAGTTGACAGTAGGAGTTTGATGGATATGGATATTAACTCTCTCCTAATTTTCCATCTCCACGTAATAATATAAAGTATATCTGCCGTTTTGTCCAATAATAAACTGTTATATGTTTACAGCCTCTCGTTGTCAAGAAATTAGACAAACCTGCTGTATTTGGCAGCAACACAGCAGTTTTTGAGGCCTCAAATAAGTTTTGTGCATGCATACTAATTTCTTTCTTTCTGCCATTTTTTTTTTCCAGTTCCATTTTGGGTTTCTAAAATCTCTTTTCTCAGATGGAATTTTCAAGGCATGATGCAAATTCAGTTCACTGACCTCACATACGAAATGACTGTTGGAAATACTACATTTCAAATACCAGGAAAACTTGTAAGTCACTAATAAAAATGGTTACTGACATTTGATAACTAAGTAGAATGCCATTTATATGCCCATCGTATTTAAGCAGATCTTGTAGGCCTCAAATCTGGCACGTACTAAATCAACACGTGAAGTCACGATACACTTGGTGCATTTTAAATTTGTCCCTACAGATAGGCCTATGGCAGTCACTCCTTTTAGTGGAAGAGGAAAAAAGAAAAAAAAAAAAAAGAAAAGAATAAAGGGCAACTATTTTCTACACAAGCCCCAACTACGGGCTTGCTGAAATTGTTCAGAAGCTGAACTCCATTCCTCTGAAATCCCACAGCCCCCAGACATCGGCGTAGCTGTAACCAGCTATCGAACCACTCAAAGTCACAAGGGCAAAGGCGGCAGGGGCCAGGGAAGCTCACAGGTAAAACACACTTCGCAGGTCCAGCAGGAAAATTTTGCGTCCGTTGCTAATTCTGCGTTATCCGTGGTTACAGGTCACGGAGGCTCTGGACCTGGCCTCCCATCCTCTCTACGTAAGCTACCTCGTCCTCGCTGGTATCGTTTGCAGCTTCTTGCTTTTATACTACCTCTCTCTGAGGTTCATCAAGCAGAAATCAAACCAAGACTGGTAACAGCAAACCGTGGAGAGGAGCCAGCCGGTTACAGCGTCCCTTCCCACGCCAAGGGGGCCAAGCCCCCGAGCTTCTCTTCGGCCCCCTCGGCGGGGAGCGGCGGCAGCGGCGGGGAGCCGGGCTGGCCGCCGGGTGGCAGCAGCACACCGGGAGAGGCAAGGCGGGCTGCGCTCCGCCACGCAACCTGCGGCGAGCGGCGGCCTCGAGCCTGCTTTTGTTGGTCTTGGTCGCTTGTTTGACACGCAGTTCTCATAGGCGACGAGACGCTTACGAGTTCTCCACACCTTGAAATATTCCGAGCTGTGGGCCGCTGATTTAACAGGACCCATCCCACTTCGTAATAGCCGATGTTTTAGTCCATAACGTTTGACCGTATAGCGATCGCGTACTTAATTCGGAGAGCCCAGAGAGAAGCGGGATCGGCACGCACAAAACACTGCTTGCTGTAGCACGTATAACATTCAGCGCTCATAAAAGCAGCGCAGAGGAAAGCAACGCAGAGGATTTCACTGATGCTTCAGGAGGTTATGCGAGGATGGAAAACACAACTGTTAACGATTCTGCGTTGTTTCGACCTGCTTCTGTGTTTTAAGGCTTTGCCTTTGTGTTCCACTGAGATGCTGTTGATGCCCAAAATGGGTATATTCTCACTGTACAGATGATTTCTTGTAACGAATAATTTTATCTCCACCTTGTATTTATTTCTACAGTACAAATACATACCACTTGATTGTTATTAATCACATCTTTCCCCATGGCAATACAAATCACGGCAATTTGCCAAGTTTGGCTCCTAAGATTCTCAGGTAGAAAATACCAAACCTGCCCCTCCAGTAATTAAAAAGCTAATGGTGTAATCTATGAAATGCTTGTAATTGTGCATCTAGCTCTGCTCAGCCATAAGACACAAATGCTCAGAAAGTGAGTAACAGTAACTAAACGCCTGTAATTCACACACAGTCATGCTAAGTGCATATGCAAATTAGGTGTACAGTTGTCGCAAGCATTTTGTAAGATTAGCTTGCTTGATTTAAAATGTTTGGATGCATACCTCTGTGCTTATATAGAGAGGCCCAAAACACGTCGTCTACTCTACTTTCATTTACATGTTGCACACAGTGGAAAACTCCTAGTGTAATCTGCTGTAATGCCCCGGATACTGTTATATACATCCTCCCCCTTTGTTTTTTTTTAAAGAAATAAGAATGAAAGAATATCAATATTTTATTATTCCATTTGGCAATTAGGGCTGCCACATTACTTTCCACAGGTTCCACATGGTAATGAATTCCCAGTAAGACCCGAGTCTAAAGATATTAAGCAGATCTGATAAAATAACAGCTTCAGCCCCAGGCAGCAGTAGGAATCCAAAACACTCCAAGGTTTTTCTAAGGTGAATTCTACCATTTCTTCCCGGTTCTGCTGCATTTGATTAAAAAAAAAAAAATCCCCAACACTTGATCTGATCCTAGTGCCATTTTGAAATTATCAGATTTTCATTGCCTTTTAATGGCAAAGCCAATTCTTTCAGTCCAATTCAGCATCATTAAATTGTCAGAATAGCAGCTTCCTGTTTGATTCTTAATTATTCCTTTTTATTATATTTAAGACACTTAATTTTTTTAAAGTGGTTTACTCTTCTTTGTAATGATCTGTTGTGATTAGAATCTCTTTTATATTACACTGAAGTTTTAAGGGTATATATTGGTACTTCTAGTCTAAACCTCTATTTTCAAGGTATTTAGAGGATTAAATTCTAGGCTGACTCTCTGTTGTGAATTCACTTTGATGTTTAATAAAAAAAGGAGAGACACAATGGGAGAAATTAAAGACATAAGGGACAGCTCTGAATTTTAGGGGCATATTGTCATGCACAGAAATCTTCAGGCATCTAGATAAGAATATACCATAGCCTTAACTTTGAATTTCCTTCCTTTTGTGAAATTAGTCAGGCTGCTGACATTACTTAAACAGCCTTTTTCAATTTAAAATTCCACCCTCTGAACATTATGCAGCAGGACCAAACGGTGTGAGTGTTTCAGAGGTGGTGTTATGACAAGGGTAGATGTATACATAATGGGGACTTGAGCGGTGAGCCTAGGAACAGCCATCGTATGGAGTGTAGGAAGAGCTATCATAGGATGTGGCCAGGCCTGTGTTTACACAGAAAAAGCTCATATTCTATATACTACAATTACATTAGCACACTGCCTGTGATCATATCTTGTTTCCTTGATGCCTAGAGATGGGGAATATAGGCTGTGATTATTGCTACAGGCTTTAGCAATAAGAAGATAGGAGCCTTGAAATACCAGCAATTAGCGCTCATGCCTAACAATAGCAAGCCGTGGGGCTGTGTACAGAGAAGAGCACAGGGAAGAGTGGGTGGATGACACACAACCTGCCCCACTCGCACCACCAGGAGTTGAAAAACGGTACAAGTTTAGGGGGAATTACGCACCTCTCAGCCAGCGAAGGTCACGCTGGACGCTTCGGCCTCCATGTTCGTGTCCGGCTTCACGCTAGTTGTGTGCGGAAAAGGTTTCACGCTGCCGCAGCGGAGCTGCTGCTGCAAAAACAAGCGGTTAGTGAGGGAATAGAAATCCTCCAGGAGTTCTAACCAAGGCTAAATATCATAATTTGACTTCAGCACAGCTTTGCTTTCCAAGTTTCAGAGTAGCCATTCTTTTCCCTTAGACTCCCCAGTGTCAGCAGCAGCTCAGCGTGCCCTCCCGCCCGCGCTCCCTGCACCAGCACAACCGAAGTTACAGCATCCCACAACAGTCCCAACACAGAAAGTAAAGATCGCGAGCGAGAGACTGCGCAAAACTCACGGTACTCGTTCCACACACGACCACCTTTAGTTTGTTAAGGACTCCAGCAGATCTGCCATTTGAGCAGAGCGCTGCCCCTCAGCTGGACAACGCCGCCCGCCATCCCAAGGATTCACCCGCGACCGTCTTTGCTCTCCTGTGCCCTCCCTGGCCAGGCTCGGAAAAGGTCTCCTCAGCTGTAAGTCATGGGCCCTGCTACCGCAGGCAACCACGTCAGTGCAAAACTGGCTTTGAAATGGCGCCACGTTTAATGGGTTGCAGAGTTTGCTTTGCCCAGCTGCTGTTTGAACTGCCCGGTGCACGATCTAACTGCGACAGGCTATGGGTTTCGGTCTGCACGCACGTCAAATTTGGGAATGGGAACATCGCATACAAGCAACAGCGATATTTGGAAGGAAAATTCACCAAATTCAGGATCAAAACCATCTGTGTTGGTTACATGGATACTATAAAGTACTGCGTGGACAACAGAACTGTGGGTTATTACAACACCTCTACGTACTAGAGGTGGTGTCTCACCTGTAAATCATAGAATCATTAAGGTTGGAAAAGACCCTTAAGATCATTGAGTCCAACCATTAACCTACCACTGCCAAGTCCACCCCGAAACCATGTCCTCAAGTAAAGGAAGAGGTAAGAAAAGTTTGTCTTTAATACTTAAAGTATTTAATACAGGGAGAGGTGGGAAGTTCTTCCCCAACCTCCACTCCAAGTTTACGCAGTCTCTCCACTTGGCAAAAGGGACAAACTTTTTTAGCACTGGAAAACGGATTACAGAAACACTGCTTTGCATATTGGCTCGTGGGTAGTGGCAGTCCTCCAAAATACTTTTAACTCGTCGTTTGGAAAGGACTAGCTTTCACTCCGGCTAAGCTAAATTAATAAGTAGCTGTTGAAAGTTTCATCCCATATTTGTTCATTGCAAAATGCATTCAGAAATGCTAAATCAGTAACAAGTATCAATGGCCATCCCTTTTTATTAAAAAATCCCATGAAATTCCTTTAGAAAAAAAAAAACCCAGACAATACGCTACGCAAGGAGACTCTGGGGGTAAGATGTTACAGGTGTTGGTACGTCCACTTGTACCAGAAATAACAAACCTTTCGGGTCTTAACCACAATGATTAATTTTACTGGCAGTAGACAAGAAACAGTGTACATGGAGCTCTGTGACATGCTGCTGCTTTTTTTTTATACTCTGAGAGCCAAGACAAGCCCTTCATATGTTAGCAGCTATTAATTAAGGCAACAATGTTTAAGCAGTGGGTTGAGGTAATTTTAAAACCGCTTAACCCTTTTAAGAACTGACGAGCTTTAAAAAGCAGATATATCATGTGCCTGTGTTCATATTAATATGTGTCTGTAGAGCTATCTGCAGGAGTAGATTACATACATGTGTATATACACACACAATTTTTTTCAGGGAATATTTAAAAAGCAATTCAGATCCATAATAAAAGTGCTGTTGCTAATTTATATAATTAATTATAAAACTGTGCGTTGATGCCTATTTTGTCATTAAATCAAACTTATGGTTATTTTGCAAATTCTATTGGCATTATTTTGCGTTCATGGTCAAAATTTGATACTTTTAATGCTTCCAGTGCTAAAAAACTGCAACTTAACAGACCTCCTCAGCCTTCACATCATGGCTCCAGAACCAGTGTCTTCCATCAACACCACATTTGGATCTTTTGCTCCTTTTTAAGCATCTAATCAGATTTTGTGAAGATTCCTAGCATATCTCAGGGCTGTTTCTGCCTCACCTTAATTTTTCATGTTTAAAAAGTGGGTTTAGTGGCATAAATGTTAAAGTACTGGCCAGAACCCATATGGTGAGCAAACAAGCAATGCCACCTGCCTCAAAAATAATCTGTTTTTTGTACACAAGCAAATTAGCCCACAAGGTAGTCATCTGCTACTTCAGTACTGAATTTTCAAGCAAATACATAGCAATTGGAAATCTATGAACATTCACAAATAGTCAAAACCAAAACGTACAGAGCCTTGCGATAATACGCAACCGCACTAGTTAACAGTTAACATCATCGTTCTTCAAGACAGTACCTCTGCTCACTCGCACCTACGGGGGGCTGGGAGAAGAGTTCAGAAAACAACAACAGAAACTTTTTTTTTAAATAAAAAAAGACTTTGCGTTTCACCGAA